GATTAATTGTTCTCCTCGCTCTGGTGGCCGTTGTCGTTTTTCTTCTGCGGAGGGCTCGAGCGAAGCGGATAGCGGCATTGTCTGACTTCATCATCGACACGGAGGCTGGTTTGCCGGGGCAGACGATGAAGACACGGGAGATTCATGGGGCTGGATCCGCCAATCTCGTTCACTTCGCTAATTCACGTTTGCCCTCGACCAGTCCTACTACTATGGCACACGACACGGAGCCGAGCCCGAGCCTCGTTCGACGAATGGCGCAGTTGGAGCATCAGGCCCGCGAGACGCAAGTCAAAATCCAGGCTTTGAGGAGCCAAGGGTTGAGTTCTCCCTTAAATTCCGTTGACAAATCGGAAGTGCGCAGCCGGTTCAACAACGACTGCCAGTGTGTTCAAGTCAATGTTGCGCAGAAGGAGAAATTTGATTCTCTTGCAATGCGCCAGGCGAAGGGATTGCAGACTATTCGGGATGTCGATGATGGCGAGGACGTGCCGCCGGGATATGATTTTGCGATGGCTCGTCTACCATGAGTCTTTTTATGTACTTCTTTTGTTCATTGAATGTTGTTGTTGTACAGTAGATTAGCGTAATCATATTATGTATGAATGCCCGCCTTAAACCGTTTAATAAAAGCCTGTCTCAGAATTTGCATGCGATGTTGGGGAGTTTGTTAGAAAAAAGAGCAATAAATATTGAGACCCGTAGGTCTACCACTCCGGAAAAGCGTGTCATCCTTGTGCAGGGGCCATGCTAATCTTCTCTGTATCGTTCCAATTTTTCGTATGACGCCCCGAAGGGTATGGCGGTCGTTTGGCTACTTTAAAAAACCATGTATAAATGTACTATTTTCAGAGAAAAAGTTGGGAACGGCGGAAAAAAATATTTTTTTTCGAGAAAGTAGAGAGACTTTCCTTGAGTATGAAAACAGTTGTGGAAGGATGAAAATGTTTTTTGAAGTTGAGTTGAAAGAGAAAAGTTTCCGCCGAGTCAGTGGCTGTGCATCAATGATGGCCGAAGCGGCCGACTTGTACTGACAAAGTTGCTCAGCGCTCAGTCTGAACTCTGCAGCCCATGGGCTATCTGTGACATGATATAGAGCAGGGACCTATTTTCAGAATAATTTTGGGTATCAGCACACCAAAACAAGGCACAGGTATGTAGCTCAATGATCTGAGCACTGCAGGATTGGTTCAATGGTTGCCATTGTCAACATCTTGCGAGCCCTGCATGCTGAAGGTCAATCCACTGTGTGTGCTAGCTAAGATAGGGGCAAAAACACCTGCTTTAGGTGGTATGAGGAGCAGCGGACGTGGATCTCCTTCTGCAAACCTTAACTAGAGAGTCCGCCGAGTCGGCCATCACTTAGAGCACAGCCACAGACTCGGCACCGAACCTTTTCTCTCAACTCCACTCCGAAAGACAATTTCAACTTACCGCAACTGTGTTCATACTCAAGGAAAGTCTCTCTACTTTTCCGAGAAAAAATATTTTTTCACTGTTCTCAACTTTTTCTCTCAAAACAGGATATTTATATGTGTTTTTTTAAAGTAGCCAAACGACCTAGTCTGTAGTTTACCGCGCGACAGCTGTCAGGAGGGTCGGGTTATTATGTAAACATTTCGAAATGGAAAGAGTTTCCCACACGCCATTTCCGCTATATTCAAGCGGCAGCATCGATTCTGCCTTAATTCTCTATGGGATATAGTCTGGGTAAGCTATGTTAGCACCCCTGTCAATTTAGAATTCTCAATTTTGGCTGAGGAGTGTGCTAAACTCAACCTTTGCGCTGGTTTGCAGCCAACCGGCATTAACCGAACCAATTTTGATGTCGGCCGTTTCTCCACCTTTTTCGTCCGTTCAAGCGCGTAGGTCAATGAGGCAAAGGTCAAGATTATGGTGGGTGGTCTAAAATTCAAATCACGCGCGCTATGAGCTGCATCGACGTGTCGTGTTTTGATGATTAGGTAATAAGCTGACCCTCCAACCGGCGATCAAAAGGTGTTGACAGACCACAACACACCGCAGGTACGAGGACTCTTGTGTTGTTCCGTCTGTTTCCAAGAGACTACAAACGACCGCCATAGAAGGGGTCGAGAATTAGGCGGATTTTGGGGTAGGGGGAGGTGGAATGGTGTAGTTTGTGTGGGGCAACGCGATTACGTAACTTGAAGTAAGTATCTCCTGATCAGCCTTCTTCAATGACAGGCGCGCCGTGTATGAAGGCAATTCATTGAGCCTAAGGTGGTTCTGAGTCGGAGACTCTGTTATATCTGATTTATCAGCCCTTCTTGTAAGACAATAACAAATTCTACGCCGCCAAGACACGATAGGGTCATTCACACCTCGCCTTTTTGCGTCCTTTTTGCTTTCCTTTTTGCCTTCCTTTTTGCTCATTTTGCATTTTGGTCAAAAAAGCTCGGTAGAACTTCTTTCTTTTTGTAACCTTTACCTCTTTGCTATGGCGGTCAATGTGCTGTTTTAATCAAAACCTGATATATCGCGATTTTGCGAGTATAGAGTGTGAGCTGAAGAAAAATATCCAGAGTGAGCAGAAACCAATATCTGCTTTTGAAGGTCGGATATATATTTTGGAGAAGAAGTATATAGAAAATTGAGCTCACAAGAAAAATATATCCCGAGGTTGGTGAAAGATATAGAAGTGAGGTGCGAGGCTGTGCTAACCCTAATGATCGCTGTCTTAATGCGGTTGTCCGCCGGCAGGACCCGGGCGCAATCTGATGTCCCACCCAAAAAGGAAATTCAACTCGTTTGTCAAGTGTTCGAGGTCAGACCTGCACCAGTGGGTTGAATGTATGAACTAATGAGACATAGACACCTTCCCTACATCAAAATACCCCAAAATTGACAGCTTCAGGCCTTAGGGCAAGATATTTCAGTCAGCTTTGGCCCAATTCTAAGGTAGACGCCATCCACCCTCGACGAACATCACATGATATTGCCTTTTTCGGCGGACTTCAGTCAAACCCCTCCGTTCCATACCTTGTAGTGTGAATTGAGCAAAATCCCTCGACCAAATCCTGCATTTTGTTCCTATCTTTATTTCTCTCAGTTGTGTCCAGATGATCTACGAGGTATTGAACGACTAGTTCCCGATTCAATGAGGCTGATGCCAAAGGTGACTTGAGAGTGACTCCGATTGTGACACAGGGTCACGGAAACTTATTTGTGAAACTCAGCCTCGGAAAGGCCAGCTATAGCCTTGGAATTTCGTTGGGTACTAAATAGCATGTATAAAATAAATTTGGTCGAGGGATTCTGCTCAATTCACACTACAAGGTATGGAACGGAGGGGTTTGACTGAAGTCCGCCGAAAAAGGCAATATCATGTGATGTTCGTCGTGGATGGCGTCTACCTTACAACTGTGCAAGACAGAGTTTTCTTAGTAAGGATACTGAACATAGTGTACTTATGTGTCGGCAATGTCTTTTCCCTCGACCACCCTCCAGACAGTGTCACAGCAATGGAAAGGCTGTCAAGCTTCACCCGGGTCTTGCCGGCGGACAACCGCATTGAGACAGCGATCATTAGGGTTAGCACAGCCTCTCACCTCACTTCTATATCTTTCACCAACCTCGGGATATATTTTTCTTGTGAGCTCAACTTTCTATATACTTCTTCTCCAAAATATATATCCGACCTTCAAAAGCAGATATTGGTTTCTGCTCACCCTGGATATTTTTCTTCAACTCACTCTATATGGATAATTCTATCCAGAAACCCGGGTTTCCGAATCTTTATGTAGAAACCCGGGGTTCAAGAACCCTTCCAATTTGGGAACGTGATTGCCCCAGTCTGCCGACTCGGCGGCAGGCGCGGCAACAATGCTGAGGGTTGGTTTGACCTTCTCAGACGCTTTTGTTTGTCGCCGCAGCATTAATTCCCAGTTGCATAGGTCTCAGATTGCCAGGGCCCATCCCATCTTCGTGGCTCCGAGATTGCCGTGTGCATGCCGACCAGGTCGTTGTTTCCGCACCCGACGACCCTAGCAGCCTCGCAATTAGCATAAAGCCTGCGGCAATATTGTGGTCACTCGTCTGCTGCTTCTGGATGCCTCGAATGAGGCTCAAAGCAAGATATAACTGTGCTCCGTTAGACATCAGGGCTGTGCCGAGCGTTCGGGATCGGCTGCTTCTCCGGCATATTCGCAGAGTCGACGGGAACTCACAGTGAAGAACAATGAACAACCCGTCGAATTTTGGAAGGCGACATGGTACCCACAATCTTCGTCTGAATGCAAGAAATAACGAAGACGGTGTTGCCGACCAGCCTGCTTATGTTCGCTGATGCCATCGAATCGACGTAAGTGGGTTTCTGTCCAGAATCTGTTAAAGTTTGTGCGGGGGGTTTCTGCAATATTGCCTTATATGGGGAGGGTTTCTACCTGCACCCCGGGTTTCTCAACAGAATTATCCCACTCTATATACTCGCAAAATCGCGATATTTCAGGTTTTGATTAAAACAGCACATTGACCGCCATACTTTACACCTCTGAATAGGAAAGTCAACATGTACTTGGCAAGGAATGAAAGGAATGTGAAAAAGGAAGAAAGTCGAGTTGAAAAATGGAGGTAAAAAGGGAGTTCCGAGCGGGGCGTTCACACATTCCTTTTGGCAGCCCATTTATTGCTCCCATTTTTCTACCATTTTAGCCAAAACTGTACAGTTGGTCCCATCTTTTTTTCATAGATCTTCCCTCTTTAACCATCAGATTGGAAAAGGCAAAAAAAACTGGGCAAAAAACGAAGAGAATACCAAAAACAGCGAAAAAGGGAGTGAAAAAGGGAGCGAAAAAGGAGAGGAAAAAGGGATGTGTGAACAACCCTGATAAGTAGTGTTGGTGGACAGTGTTGAGTTCGACATGGTGATGTCTGTTTCTTCAGATACTAGTAGACACAGTGCGGAGAAGCGGAATGGTTGGTAAAAAGAAGTTGAACCACTCAAAAGATGTGTTGGAAAAAACACAACACCAGAAGGGCGAAGGTCGCGCCCGGAATCGAACCGGGGTTGCCAGAAGTTCCGGATTCGTGCTTGAAATATTCATCAGAATCTGGAGTGATAACCGCTACACTACGCAACCAGTTGCTATTGATCGGGATTATATAGTCTGGACTGAGAGGAGGGATAAGTAATGCAACATAGACTGGCAGCCCTTTTCTGGCTTTCGTGCTTGTGCTTGTGTGAAGAACGAATCTTATACATGTACAGCCATTGTGGTTTTGCATTGATTTATTTATGCGGATTTCAGAGATTATATATACAGCAGGTAACGATTCGGAGGTCTAGATAGGTAGATTGAACCAGAGCGGAGAAGGAATTCGGAGAATTGAATTGGATTGGATTTGTTTGTTGGTTGAATTGGTACATACTACACTTGGCTGCCCGCCCCAATACGCACTGCGCTTCGCCGCTAACACTGGACCTGGAAGGCTGAAACACGCCCCAACGCCCCAATTGAACGCCACTCCGAATTTCGGACAAATTCTCGAGAGACAAGACAGTGTCGTAAAAGAGATACTTGAGAGATACGGGGGTGAGGCGGACTAGAACATGCTGCCCTCTGGCGGCTGGGGGAGTTTGCGGTTGGTGGGGGTTGCCATTTCTCTGGAGAAGAGTGAGCCAAGTTGTGAGAAAAAGAAGAGGATTTTGAAAGTAAGAGGACGGGAGATGGGGAAGGAAAAGAAGATGGTGGTAGACGGGGGACGGAAGCGAAGGGAAGATGGTAGACGGGAGAAAAGGGAATAACCCAAAAAAGAAAGACAAACGAAAAGAAGATGGTAGACGGGAACGCAAACAAAGAAGAGGGAGATGTAAGAAGTAATATGAAGAGGAAGCGAAGAGACGTGTAGGAGGTAAGAGGAATATGAAGAAGACAAACGAAAAGAAGACAATAAAAAACGCAAACGAAAAGACAAACGCGAACAAGAAACTTACTTGCGTATCTCGACCAAAACGGTCTCGAGGCTGCTCGCGCGGGACCAGGACGCGAGGACGGGGAGGCGGGAGGGGTCGACGGAGCCGTCGGATTGGGAGACGAAGGGGAGGTTGACGCGGGAGAGGAACTGCGTTTCTGGTCACTATCTAACAATTATCTCTTTACTCGACGCAACGCACCTGCACAACCGGCGGCCTCTCCGGATAACTATCCCCACACGTAATCTTCAGACTATAAATCCTGTTCTCATGGACGGTGTGGCCGGGGCCGATGATGGTGCCGTTCCAGGAGGACATCATGATGTCGTCTGAGTCTTCGAGGCCGTAGGAGCAGGAGCCGTCGCCGATGCCTTTTTCGCCTTTTTCGAGCTCTTCGAGGAGGCGGAAGTTGCGGGGGACTGTGAAGTTATCATGTTATTGGGGTAGATTGGGTAGAGGAAGGGAAGAGAGGTGGAGAGGGAGGGGGAATGGGGAATGGGGAATGGGAGGGATGGGAGCGAGAAGGGCGGGAGGGGCGGGAGGAACGAGGACGCACCCTTGGCCATTGCTGCGATGGACTGGATGTGGATGGATGGGATGGGATGGATGGATGAGGATGGATTAGATGGGTGGGTGGGTGACAGTGACGAAGGTGTGACGGACGGGTGTGACGTATTCCGCGCACTGCTCTGCGCAGGCTACTCCATCTTAGACTTCCTCCTCCTCCTCGTCGCCCTCACCTCTCGGGCTCATCATCCCGCCAACGAGTTACGAGTAACCACAACCAACCACCACCATGTTCGGCGCCTCCCCCGCAAATCCCTACGACGACATCGTCGCCAAAACCACCGACGAGCACCTCACCTCGGAAAACTGGGAGCTCATCCTCAACCTCTGCGACAAGGTCGCGGACTCCTCCGACCCCGGCTCCGCCGCGCACGACGTCATCGCGTCCCTGCTGAAGCGGCTAGCCCATAGGAACCCTAATGTGCAGCTGTATGCGCTGAGCGTGGCGGAGGCGCTGGGGAAGAATTGCGGGGTGGAGGTGCATCGGGAGTTGGCAAGTCGGGCGTGGACGGGGGGCGTGGAGAGGGTTGTTACGGATAGGGTGAGTGCGAATTTCTGTTTTCTGAGGTTTTGGTGCATTTGTTTCCGATGAAGTGGGTTGGAGGGTTAGAGGACGAGAGGACGGGAGTTGGGCGACGGACGCTCCGCTGGACCTGCGTTGACGCCCTACGCCGTACCCTTGAGCCTGCGACTGCGTCGGTGATGCTGCGGTCTCAGTCATTCCCGCAATGCGGCGCTGCGGATCTACACCCTCCCTGCTTCCTGGACGCACCATCCCTTGCCTGCGACAGCCTCCGTCTGTGTGCGCCGCATCTCTCTCGTTTCTCTCAATGCTACATGCATGCAATGGATCGTCGTCGTCCGTTGTGCGGCGTGCCGTCTTTCCGATGCTATTAAGCTCGCTTCGTTTTCGCCAGCGGGTGTGCCACTCGAGGCGCGCGCCCCCCCACGCACCGCTGCCCCTACTTTGATTTCATGGGAGCTCTGACGTTGACTGATTTCATTGGGGGACTCCTGCGCGACCTTACCATTCCTGCTTCTGTCTGCTCGTCGGAGCTGCGGGAGAGGTACTGCATGCAGGATAGGTGTAGACTCTAGGGTCATCGCGCTCTTTTCGTCTGCGCTCCTCTTGTATCTGCGGCTCGGCACACACCGCCAGCTGCTCCTCATCCTTATTGGAATGGGTTCTGGCCTTGTCGTCTCTACGTCTCAAACCTTTCTTTTCTTTACATCGAGGCGCCGCGATGAGAAGAGCTCAAACTCTGCGGCGGTTGGCGCGATGTGGTTTCTATCTATCTACTGGGGCTTCACCATACGGCGGTGGCTTGCATGTATATCTCTCTCTTCTTTCAAGTATTCAAAGCCGGAAACAATTAACTGATTTTACTCCCATCTTTCCTCAGAACACACACACCCGCGTCCGCACCCGCGCCCTCGCCCTCGTCGCCCAATGGACCGCCGACTTCGCGGACGATCCGACGCTGGGGATCATGCAGGAGTGTTATGAGGGGTTGAAGGCGAAGAGTGAGTGGTGTGCTTCCTTCCTCTATTTTATTCTCTTTCTTTCGATTTCCGATTTCCCTTTCCCTCGCTCCTATTTACTTCCTTGCCTTACTCGTCCTTCTTCCCGCTTCTTTCTTACTTAATTACACTTCACGGTTTCTTACTTTCTCACGTACACTCCCTTCTTTCTTTCTCCCTTACTCTCGTTTCTCTTCCTCCCTCTTCACCCTCCCACCCTTGCTCCTCCCCCCTCCTTCACGATCGAAGTAAAACCGAAGTAACGCGACTTACCTCCCGCTCCAACAGACTACACCTACACCCCGCCAGACGACCCCGCGCCGCCGGCGGTGGACGACGCGATCCGGAGAAGAGAGGAGGAGGAGCTGCAGAGGGTGCTGGAGATGAGTGTTAAGGATCGTGGGGGGAGGTGAGTTTGAGTTTCGTGCTTCTTTCTCTTTCTTTTTCGATAGGCATACTCTGCGTCCTTGCACATGGACGCGGTACCCCGCATCTCTGCATGCAAGAGTTGGGACCTCTTTCCCTTTCCCTAGGCCTACTCCGCATCCCTGCATCCAAGGGTCAGGATAATGCTGATTCACTTTGCAGACAACCCTATCCATTCGAGGCGGATACCGGGAATGGGGCGGGGTCGTCGTCGGCTGCTGGGGGTGGGGGGTATGCAGGTACGTTTGTCCTCCCTTCATTCCACTCATGCTCGGCGTCGTCTGGCAAGAGATATCATAATGCTTACGCGCGTCACAGGAGGATCGTCAGGCGGGTACGTCCCCGCTCAGCGGGATACGCAGAGGGAGCGGAGTCCGAGTCCCGTACAAACAGCCGACCCCACACCAAGCGCCTCAGCCGCCGCGACGACGGGGATCGTGACGCGCGTGCGGGCGCTGCACCCCTTCGCGCCCACGGAGCCGGGGGAGCTCGGGTTTGAGCGGGGGGATGTTATTAAGGTGGGTTTGCGTCTTTTTTCTATGCTTTTCTATTTTCTTCCTCTATATATGCCTTTCTTCGGTGTCACTCTCTTTATATGTATATTGCTCTTTGAATAACATTTAACGACGCTACAGGTTGTCGACCGCGGGTACAAAGACTGGTGGCGCGGGCAGCTGAAGGGGCGGACGGGGATCTTTCCGGTTAATTATGTGGTATGTCTTCTCTTCCTTCCTTCCTTCCTCTTCATCCCTCATCTCTCATCTCCCCGCTCCTTCCTTTACTTCTTCTTCTTCTTCTTCGCCCACTTATTCACTTATCGCTAATTTATCTTCTCTACTTTTAGGAACCCCTCCCCGAACCCACCCCCGCCGAGCTCGCCGCGGAAGCCTCGCAGGAAGCCGCGGTCTTCGCGCAGGCGGTGAACGTGGAGAAGCTGCTGAATATGCTGCGGGCGCTGGACCCGGGGAAGGGGGATAATTTGGCGGAGGATGAGGAGATTCAGGTGGGTTTCGTCCTTTGTTTCGAGTGGTTTCAGGGGGTTTAGGGGATGGGGTCCTGTGATCCCGTTTGCGTCTGCGTGAGATCAAAGGGAGTAGGAAAGAAAGGTCTTCCGATGTCGGGAGGGCTTGAGGCGGAGGTTTGGGCTGTATCAAGGCTGCTCGATCATCTTGAGAGACGATGTTTCTGCTCTCGGGCAATGACGATGTGATGTCTCTGCTCGAGAGGCTCGTGGCCTTGTCCTGCTTTTGTCTCCTCGTCCACATGTTCTTCTGCTAACATCTTGTTTCGCACGTAGGAGCTCTACCGCTCATGCATGGCACTACGACCCAAGATCGTCAAGCTCATCGATAAGTACAGCCAGAAACGGGGTACGCTCTCGTCTCCTTACCTATCTTTCTTTCTTCGTTTCGTATCTCGTCATTAACCTGGGCCACTTTCTTTCAGCCGACCTCGTCTCGATGAACGAAACCTTCGTACGCGCGCGCACGATCTTCGACCGCATGATGGAGGAAAGCCTCGCGCGGCACTCGGGGTACGCTGCTCAAGCTCAGCAGCAGGGCGCGTGGGGCGGGTATCCGGATGCGGCGGCATATGCGTATGCTCAGGCGCAGCAGGGTCAGCAGGGACAGGGTCAGGCGGCGTATGGGGTGT